TGCAGGATGGGAACTTTCTCTAGGGAAGATGAGTGATCTCATCACTAAGACACTGTCTTCGGGGTGTCTAAAATTAGGCTCGCTTACCTCCCAGATGGAGCAGCTACGGCAGCATGCATGAGCGCTCCATATGTCCCACAGTATGAGTCTCTACAAAAAGATTTTCTAAATCTTGTGAGTCGTTTAATCAAAAATACCTGCTTCCCCAGTGGTATTTAAGCCCAGAAGAGACAGTTCTCTGAAGATAGCTCCATTTCTCTGAATGTTCAGTGTTTGGTTCGGGTCGGCTTTACCTGACAACTAACTCGGCTCTTCTCTCCCTGTGGCTAATAATTGGCTGGATCCTCGGATGTTCTTTTAGACACCTAAACTTCAACACTGGTGCTTTTGACATGTCCCAACTTTTCAGTCAACAGATACTATTAATTGTTCCCCAAACGTCACACTTTTCTTACAACACTCTAATCCAGGTCCCTACCCTCCTCTGCTCCTAGACGGTCGATACAGTGGTCCTTTCAGTCATCAGCTTCACAGGTTATCCCCTGGCTGATCAGCTACCACCAGGCAACTGTGCCTTCCCTCGGCTTGCCCTCTGATCTCCACAGTCCTCAGAGTCATTTAACACTAAGAGCCTTCTGGGGGCTCTTGGGTTAGGTATATATATTCCTTTCCTTCCTGGTTCCTACCATCATAATCTCTCCTGAACTTGCCTGGTGATTTTTCCCTCTTTGTATCAATTTCATCTTTCTTGTGAGTAGGTGTTTTCATCCCCCATCAGCTTTCACCTCCTGGGAAGAAGCCAGAGAGTATGAAAAATCTCATGGCAGGCCACATAGTCTCACTGCCTTCCGCTCTCTGCCTTTACTTCCTTTGATCCTGGCTCTTGCTCAGATTGAAGCATGACTTTTCAACAAAATTGATGGTTTTTTTAGTGGCTTTAAACTCTACCAAGATGTTTTAACTGTTGTAATCCTACAAATTGAAGATCTGGATTTACAGTAAAATTTTCAGGAAAAAAAAAAAAACTCCCATGGCTCGGTAATTAGTAACGAGGGCTCAGGGCTAAGGAGATTTTCTTTTTGGTCTGTGTGGGTATGATGTGTAAACACAGGAGCATGCCACAGCACATGTGTGGACATCAGAGGACAGGACAGCGGAGTGGTCTCCGTTCTCTCCACCTTTATGTGGGTCCCAGGGACCACACTCAGGTCATCGGAGGTACACTGGAAGCTCTAAACACTGAGCTGTCTCCAGCCGCAGTGACCTGTTTGCAGATGTGACCCTCTTAGACCCTTTCCCGTCTGTGTTAACTACAACTGGTAACAGACACCTTCGGTGACTAACTTGACAGAAGTGTGTTGGGGCTCCCAGATCAGCAGGGTCCTGTCTATAGTGAATGGACCACTTACTTCGAAGCCTCTGAAGGCAGGGGTACAGAAGCAGGGGTCTAGGTCAACTCCTCACGACCAGAACAAGAAAGGAGGGGACAGACACACAGGGGCCCAAGAGTCCCCTTCAGGGACACACCACTATAACCTGCATCTCACTAGGACCCACTTTAAAAGTTTTTCCTACTTCGTGTAAGCACCACGGACTGGGGCCATGCCAGATCTGAGCTACAATGTCACCTCCTTTTTCCCAGGTACCTCCTCTAGAGTCTGCGGCTGTCTTCTTCTATAGAATATCTGTGCTTTAGCTGGCTGGTCAAAGCTGATGCTCTCCTTAAGAATCTCTTCCACTTTTCCCTTTGTATATATAACATCTGTTATATTCCACACATTACTGTATTCTGTGTATGTTCCCAGACATGTTGAAAGGGCGGTAGGTAAGATGTCACCATCCTCGGGCTGATGAGTCCGTGGATAAAGGCACTTGCTGCCTAGGAGGATCCCTGCCAGTGCCCACATCCCAGCTTGCCCCTCCATTCTGCCAGCCTCACTTTCAAATCCTGGAGAGCAGGAGAGCCCACATCTCGCCCCTGCTGGAGGGGGTAGGGGGGGAGGGGAGAGAGGAGGCCATGCCGCTTCCAGTGATTGGTCGTTTGTAGTACTGTATCCTTGGGTAGTGCCACATGCCTCTGCTTCCTTTTGAGCTCTGGGTAGGTACACTGGGGTCTAACGATTAGCACCTGATGCCACAGGACATTGGAGCTGGAGAAAGCAGGGACAGGAGGGAAGGAGAGTGGAGCACTGGTGTACTGAGGAACCTGCCTACCTCCATCTTGAAGGCAGGAGCTGTATGATGTATTGTTATTAAAAAAAAAAGTTTCCGTTTACTGGAAGAATGGAGTCACTGTTTTTAAGTCTGTTTCCTGGCACCTGATCTGCCCCAACCCATGACCTTGACATGTTTTTGAGAATACCCTTACCTTCTATGACCTTGATCCCTCCCTAATCACATAGTGGCCACATGGTGAGTTTTGGTTTGGTTTGGGGTGGGGGGTTGTTTGTTGGGTTGGTTTTGTTTTTTGAGATTTTTTTTTTATAGTAACTTAATGCCTCGTCTCTTCTGTAAACTTGCTTTGCAACACCTCGTGATTTTCCTCCTTAAAAAGCTGCCAAGAAATGGACCCAGTGCTGCTCTTTTTAACCTGACTTAGGGGGCTGTGGCTGCTCAGCTCTTGGGCACGCCCCAGTCAAATCAAGCTTGCTTCAAGTTTGGCTCAGAATTGTGGTAGTGGTCTTATTGTTGCCTGGTGGAATCAACCGTACCGAGTAAGCACAAAGCCCCGTGCATGGAGCCCTACCAGAGGAACCAGACCTAAGCACGGCTGACTCCGTGATGGAAGTATCATTCAGGCTGTAAAACTCAGCCCATAGACAGCACCACCCGCCAAAACCAAATCAAAGGCCTAATCCATCAAAGTCCATATATATAGCCCTGGAAGAGTCTCCAAATGTATAATCTTGCTTTTTAGCTTTTGTAGTTCCACTCCTGGCTAACTGTTCTTGTTAACTGAAGTATGACAACCCAGAACAAGATTTTTGTGCTTAAAACTCATCCTGGGATCCCGAACACCTGGTGTCGTCACTGGCTGGCTAATAAAGACTTTCTGTTGGCTTAGCCCATGTCCAAGCGACCTTCCCTGGTGAATACCCCACAACACTAGATCAGGCTTCCTCCCTCTCCCTGATGAGCCTGGGCTGGCACCGAGAGCTCCCCAGCCAGCCCGCCTGCAGTTCAGACCTGCCTGTGCCTGCTCTCTCTCCTTGAGGAAAGGCAAGGGGAGAGTCGGGCATATCTAGAGCTGGACGGTGCTTCTCTTCAGCTCAGCTCATCACCCAACAGTGTCCTTGCATATTTTAGCATAGATGGGACTAGGGACGAAGAAGGCACGGCACTCTAACATCCCATGCTCAGCCTAGACCAGCAGAATAGTAACTGACTATGGCAGATTGAATGGTGCCCCAGTGATTCAAATGCTGAAGGTCTGGCCACCTCTGCCTGAAGATTTCTTTATAGGGCCGAGAAGCAGTTGTGATGAGATGAAGACCATCCATCCACCACTTTCCAGCTCTGTAAATCCAGGCTCCCAGAATCATGCGTAGGGATCATGCTTCCATGGGGATTGCTCAGCCAAACCCTAGGCTCTCTGGTCTTGAGCCCTGAGCAGGGATATGAGGTTCCGAAAGAGTCCCTGAGGTGCCATTCAGGGAAGAAAACCGTTTGAAGAGATAAGAATGAAAACTCGGTGCGGATTGATTTCGTCAACGTGAATCAGAATTTGGGGAATCTAATGCCAGGCGGTTTATTTAAAACATAGTAAATCCGGGGCAAGGTTTCCAGGCAACATCAGTCCATTCGGTCCAATTCCAGGTGCACAATAAAGCTTGAGGTGTGCCTACATGGAAACTCCTTCAAGTACATGTGACCGTGAGGGTGGGTTCTACAGCTAAAAGGCCTAGAATCTATCGCGGTCTCTGACCCATAGCACAGAGGTCAGCAGGCCACAAAGTACAGGACATTATCCCCTAAGGATGGGTAACGGTCTAGGGAGGGAAGAGTCTGGGGTAACCGTCCTGGGGGATTTGGGTGAAGTCTGCCTCCACAGAGAGCAGAAAGGTCACCAGGTCATTAACAAATCCGCTCTCAGCTTTCTGGGTGGAATGCCGGTATCCATCCCTCCATTGAGGGGACCCCTGCGTGACTAACGTCCCTGATTCTCAAGTGTTTCTCTCTGAGTACAACGACCTCTGTGTCCCCCAACACCCCCCACAGCTGCCAAGCCTCATTACCTGAGGTCGATGCCCGGAATCCTCATGGTGGAAGGGGAGAGCCGACTCCCGCAGGTTGTTCTCTGACCTACACACACCGAGAGAGAGAGAGAAATTATGAAAAATAGGTAAAGATGCCCCGCTCTGAGGACCTAGACTCCTGGTCAGGCCTTAACCCTTACCGTGCCACTGCAGCCTCGTCCCAGTCCACAGCCAGTCCCTTTCCAGTCCCCCTCAGCGGCATCAGTTATTAATCATATTAATAACTAATGTTAACATTAGTTACAAAACTTCATCGCCCGAACTGAAACTTTACCCTCCGTAATAGTGTTCACTGCCAACTTGACACGGTCTAGAATCACCTAAGAGATGAGCCTCGGAGAATGTCTACGGAATCGTGGGTTCATCCCCACGTCTCCAGATCATCGCTTGTGAAGGCAGGTGAGTTTCGTGACCAGCTTCCCTCCAGCTCAGACTCTGACCTTCCGACTTCCTTTCCTTCCAGTTCTGAATGTGTCCCTGTCCGGTAGGATGATGGGACATTGGGGTCCTCTAGCACGGAAGAGGATGGTCTGGGAGGCAAATTGTGAGGGCCAGGGAGTGGCTGTGTCAGCAACCTTGGACCTGCCGGCAGGGGGCAGAGGAGGAGGCGTCAGCGGGGGATGCCAGAGAGAAAGCCAAGGCCACGTTGCTCAGCCCAGGTGTTCAGTGCGGGGGGGGGGGGGGTGTCGAGGGGCGTGGACTCTGCCCGGGCTGCGCTCAAATAGTGAAGGGCCGGAGCGACCAGGGAGAAGGAAGCCAGGCCCGACCCAGGACCCCAACCAACCCAACGGCTGCCATGAGGCTCCTGAGCGTGGCTTTTTGGCTGGTCCTGGCCCTGCGCACTGGTGAGAGTGTCCCTGAGGGAGGGAAGGGGGCAAACAGCACTCACACCCACCAGGGTTCAGCGACACGTCCCAAGGGCTGAGGAGGCGGCCTTGAGACAGGCCTCAAAAAATCATGCCAGATGTTAGAAAAGCCCCCGGTGGTCTGTCTGGTGTGGGAGGCGGGAGGGAGCTCAGGGGATGCAGCAGCCCTGGCAATAAGAGGAGAGAAAAGAGGGCAAAGAGGAGGAAGAAGGAAGGAGCCTGGGGACAAGGGCTGAGGGCTCTGAGCCCCATAGAGGAGGAAGGCAGAGGAATGTCCCGGTAGTCGCCAGACTGTGGGGCAGCTGCAGATTGACCCTTGTGAAGATGGAGTGCAAGCTGGAGATGAAAGAACAGCCCCAAAGGCAATTTCCAGATGTCTAGGCCTCCAGAGGGTCCTGGCTACAAAGTCCGGAACCCCTGTCTCTGGGCTCCTGCTGGGACGCTCCCTGAGACTCTGAGGGAGTCTGGTCAAGGGGCACCATAAGGAAGCCCACGGAGGACCTGTGTGTTCAGCTCCGCATGAGTTGGCTTCCAACACTGAAGGTGGAAATTAGACTGCAAATTAGTCTCCCGGTCTCCCGACGTCACCAGTCACGGAAGCAGAAACCTGAACCCACCTACCCAGTCCTCAGCCTCTCTTATTGCTCCTTCCCTTGGCAGGGGCCTGGCTACGCAATTGTAGATGGCCGGGCACCCACAGTTACCACCTCAGTCATGCAGAAGGGTAGGGACAGAGCTGAGGTGGGATCCTGGGCCGGTAAATGCTTTTTAGGAGGTGGGGGGAGCAGGAGGCATAGGAAGTTGTTAGCCACAGAGCCTGTTGAGACTTGGAGACATTGCCGCAGGCTCAGCCCTATCCCAGGAACTTTCCACTTGCTCTGTAGTGGGCTAGATTCCGAGCCACCCATCTGCAAAGCAGCTATGAGCTTTGGTTAGGGTCCATAGCACAGCTTTGCCCTGCCTCCTTCTCTCTGCCTCTCCGTGGGAGTGCAAGGCAGGGGACCGGCCATACAGGCTGGTAGGGTCACCACGGGCCGGATAAGTGAGGAACAAGTGCTGTCAACGGTCCTACCCCACAGTTCTCGGTGCAGTGGAGCTGCGGTGGTGCACCACCTCAGACCCGGAGCAGCAGAAATGCAAGGACATGAGCAAGGCCTTCCAGGAAGCTGGCATCCAGCCTTCTCTCCTCTGCGTCCAGGGCACCTCAGCTGACCACTGCGTCCAGCTCATCAAGGTGAGGCCTCTCCCTTCTTCTTGTTCCCCACCCCTGGCCCAGACAAGAGGGCTCTGACTCAGGAGGCGCACACAACAGCCCCATTCACTGGGAAAGAGGCCGGTGTCCCTCTGCCAGGGCTGAGCAATACAATCTCCTGAGTTTCCCCAGCACCAAGCGCCTGACTTTTTCCTGCCAAGTGAGAGGTGAAGAGGGGCTGTGGTCCAGATGGGCATCAGCGAGGACAGGAGGAAGTGGAGAAAATCCCCAGGCAGGACACAATGGCGCTGCTGGGTGGGGACAGCGATGCCCCCCACTCTTGGGGGAGAGAGCAAGCCATAGTGACTATCCTAGCTTGATTTTCTTTTCTTTTCCTTGGTGCTGCTGTTGTTGTTTGAGACGGGTTTTCTCTATGTAGACCTGGCTCTCCTAGAACTCACTCTGTAGATAAGGCTGGCCTTGAACTCAAGAGAGATTCTTTCTCTCTCTTGAGAGACAGAGATCCACCTGCCTCTGCCTTCCAGCCCTAGCTTGGTTTTCTAGTGCCATGAGAAACGCCATGATCAAAAGCAACTTGGAAGGAAAAGGGTTTATTTCAGTGTATGGCTTGCCGTCCATCATGAAAGGAAATCAGAGCAACAGCTGAAAGCGAAAACCTGGTGTCAGGCACTGAAACACAGGCCGCGGAGAAATGCTGCTCACTGGCTTGCTCCTCCTGGCCTGCTCAGTTGCCTTCTCATATAACCCGGGACCCCTTGCCTGGGGATGACATCACCCACATTGGGCTGGATCATTCCACATCAATCAAGAAAATGCTGCACGGGGCCAGTCTGATGGCGTTTCCTCAGCTGAGGTTTCTTCTTCTCAGAAGACTATAGCTTGGGTCAAGTTCAAGGGCGGGGGGGTGGAATCTAACCAACACAGTGACTTCATGGCTGATAGTGGTTACTCACTGCCATGGAGCTTTCCAGAATGAGACTAATAAGGTTCTTGGAGAAGAAACCCTCATTCCAGAGTCCTGAGAAACTGTGAGATGGGAAGACAAGCCTGGGTGATGAGAGACCCATTAAGCTTGCACTAACCATTCTCAGAGGCAGGACGTGATGACGAAGGCAGTCACCGTAGGACAGGTCCTGGATCTCCATTGCAGGCTGGTCCCCAGGAGGCCTCTGGGAACTAACCAGCTAGTGGAGCCAACCCTCTTGGCTGAGGGCAGAAGGCATCAATAACGAGTAACAGTTCCTCTCGGCTTCCCTCTGTGTGAACTGTCTCGGAGCCACTTTCTGCTACAGCTCCATTTTGTGTCTCCCGGTTTTTCAGTATGCACGTCAATGGTGATCCTGTAAAAACTAATAATTGACTTTTTAAAGTGTGGTAAAAGCAAGGTGAGTTCTTGGCCTGATAAAGAGTGAAGTCCTGGACCCTTAGGGCAGGACCAAGACCAGGCTCCTGAGCCAGATGAAGAGGGCAGGCGGTATAGACCTCCCATGCTTCTTGAGGGTCTCTGGGCTGCCTGTGGCTATCACTGAGCTCTGGCTGAGATGGCTGACCCTCACTCTCTTGTCAGGACCAAGAAGCTGACGCCATCACCCTGGATGGAGGGGCCATTTATGAGGCGGGGAAGGAGCATGGCTTGAAGCCAGTGGTGGGTGAACTATATGACCAAGGTAAGGGGCCTGGTGTGGGGGGAAGCGAGTATTCCACACAGAGGTCATCTGGCCGGCCTGGCCATGTGACCCTGAAGCCCCCAAGCCTGTCACCAGCTCCACAGAACACCTGTGGGGATCCAGGCAGAAACCCCTTCCGAGAACTCTCCACTTCTCACTTGAAACCCGGGACACAGAAACTGAGTCTGCTTTTCCTGGGTGACCCGATGACACACTCCCTTCTTTTGCCCACTGGGCCCTTACTGAGGAGCATCCCCGCCTGGGGCAGGCCTAGGTGGAACCTGGTGTGCAAATGTCTCCTGACCAAGGTGTCCAGATAGGCACACACTTCAGTGCCCCTGTCAGAGGCAGCTGTGGGGAATGGGGCTGGGGATGGGAGGGCTGAGAGCTGCAGAACCCAGCAGACCCAGAAACATGCCGAAGCTGAGGCAGGCTCCTCACCCCTCTCTCATGCCAGACACCTTCTATCTGGACCTGCTCTGTGTGTCTCCTTCAGCTCACCCACTGCCCAGGCTCTACTGTCAGTAACACAGCAGTCATAGCCTCTCATGAGCCCTTGGGCCCCTCCTGTCTTGGCAAAGGCCTTCGAAGTGTCACTAGAGGTCTGATTAGCCCCCACAGGCCTAACGAAGGCCTTGCCCTTCTGCTTTGCCCCCCAACCCCAAATGGGGCCTCGTGCAAGTCTCTTCACACTCCGGCTGGCCACTCAGTGTCTTTGTGACAGTCTCGTGACATGGGGCATAGTCCAACAGCCTTTCCTTGAAGGCCACCAACGGTCCTGACTCACAGGTCCCTAGCACAGCTCTTCCTCTGGCTAACTGAGCACCCACTGTTCCCCTGTCAGGAACACAGTGGCAAGAAGAGACCCTGTTTCAACAGCAGGTGTCAGATAGCCAGCATGCACCTCAAACCCCAGTTCTTCACAGGGCAAGTGCTGTTAAGAAAATAAAGGCCAAGAGATAGAGGTGCCAGGAAACCAACAAAGGAGGGCGAAGGGAGGCTGGTGGGAGCGGCCTTGATGGTTCCAGTAACTCATGAGAGAGGCAGCACCGGATGGCTGGAAACAGCTGCTCAATGTTCTCAACCCCAAGCATGCTCTGGTCATGAGCAGCCCGTGACCACTGTGTACGTGAGAGACAAAGAGAGGGGCGGCAGGGAGGAAGAGATGGGTGTGACTGCTCTGGTCTGCAGTCTCTGTAGGTGAGTTCTGTGTCTTTTCTGAATGAGCCTCCTCCACGGTGGGCCCGGAGGAGTCTTGTGAGGCCGCAGAGCCCACACCCCCAGAGCTTTTCAGGGTCTTGAGTGACTTGGGGGTCACATCACTAGCCACGCCTGTGTCTCTCCACCGCCATCCCCATCGCGCAGCGCCTTGACATGGTTTTTCCTCCCGCCGGGAGCGTTTAGCCTCCTCCCTCAGCTATGGTGCCCCTCGGGCAAACCTCCTAGTTCTCCTAAGTGCTTCAGCCTTTGGGAATTGAAGGCTCCCCTGACTTGAACAAATGGAGACCCAGCTATGGCCAGATGGCTTGAGAAGGAAAATAGGAACAGTTGAATGAATCACTGTCTCTTCGAGTGTCTAGTTAGCGAATGGGAGGAGGGGTGTTGTGCGGGCAAATCTTGTGGAGCTAGGGGGTCATGGCCTCCAGTTCTCAGCAACAGAAAACCGAGCACGCATGCACGTCTTTATCCGTACATGCACGAACACGCATGCGCACACATGCGCAAGCCCACGAGCTTACACTGACTACCATCTCCCACAGCCTTCGCTGCCCTGCGTCCTCCCTTGCTGTCCTCACTCCTGACTTCTCCCCCACCCACAGACATTGGGACCTCCTATTATGCCGTGGCCGTGGTCAGAAGGAATTCCAACGTAACCATCGACACCCTGAAGGGTGTCAGGTCCTGCCACACAGGCATCAACCGGACTGCAGGCTGGAACGTGCCTGTCGGCTACCTGGTGGAGAGCGGCCACCTCTCGGTGATGGGCTGCGATGTGCTCAAAGGTGAGCGCCCAGCTTGAAGGCCCTGGACCAGCTCTTCCTTCCTCTCCTCTGTATGCTCAGGTAGCACTCTTGTCCCCCGTGGGATCCTGAAACTCCAACCCCCTGCAGGAGCCTCGCTGGCTGACTCCAGCCAGGGCTGCCATTCTCTCTGCTCTGCTGGCCACGCCTGGTGGCCTCCTTTCCTGGCCGGTTGGCTACTGCAGAGCACGACTCACGCTTGCCCGGTCCATTGTGGCCCATGGAACACAGCCAGGCACAGGACCCAAACATGGTTGTAGGAAGAGGACCAAGAAGAGATCGTCCTGGTGTAGGCTAGTGAGGGTGGTCTCTGTCTAGACGTGCGTCCCGAGCACTACCGGATCAGACACTGCATTTTCAGGACCCAGACAAGCTGCTGACCTCACCCATAGAAGCCCCCAAGGGACTTGGGGGCCACAGCCTCTCAGGGTGGCCGGGGGTGGGTGCTCTGCCAATCAGGAGGGCAAATATTTGTGCAAGGGGTGCTTCCGGAGCCCTACTGCTGAAGAAAGGAAGATAAATAAATGGAAAACAGACCCCACCAAAAACCGTGCAGGTCAATAGGTCAGACGGCTTGGCCACCCAAGCCTCGTCTCTGATTTCTTCCCCCCCCCCCCCCCCCGCCTCTGGTGAGACTGCTGGTTTGAAAACGAACTCTACAGTGAGAACAGAATCCAGTTTGCACTCAGTTGTCCTTCGAAGACATTTATCAAAAAACGTTTCATTTCCCAGCCACAGCTAGGCCGGCCCCGCCCGGGTCAGAGCGCCTAGTCTGGGAACAGCGGTGTGAGCTGGGAAGTGGAGACAGTGGGCTGATGCCTCTCCTGACTCCACCGTGGGGTCAGTGATCTCTCCGTGCTCCCTCCCACAGCTGTGGGCGATTATTTTGGAGGCAGCTGCGTCCCTGGAACAGGAGAGACCAGCTACTCCGAGTCGCTCTGTCGCCTCTGCCGTGGTGACTCATCTGGGCACAACGTGTGCGACAAGAGCCCGCTAGAGAGATACTATGACTACAGCGGAGCCTTCCGGTGAGGGGTGCGGTGGGGTGCGGTGGGAGGGGCTAAGTGGAGCCGGGAACTGACTGCGGGCTGCAGGGTGTCAAAGAGTCCATTATGTAGAGCTGTGCCCCCTTAGTTTATAAACACGAAACCGGAAGGTGCCCGGCTGAATTTGCTCAAAAAGTCAACATGTTTGGTGTGTTTAGAAAAGGGAGGGCTCCGACCACAGAGAATGGAAAAAGCCATCTCAGGCTGCTGCCAGGTCCCCCATTCTGAGGCCTGGCCATCAGGGAGGGCAGAGAGCGGGAGAGTGACTGGATACTTTCTCTGTGCTCCTCTTGACTGGCCCTGTATCCTTCCATGACCCAAGAGGGATTCCAAGGGCTCCTGTCTGATCCCATGTCATGTGTGAGAGTTCCCAGCCCCTGTGGCAATCGGTCCTTAGTGTCCATACCTAGGGTGGGAGGCTTATTGGTGGCCAGAGGGAGCAATTTTTACCACAGAGGGAGGACATGTCTTTACAACCTCCCCATGTCCCCGGATATCTGCTCCTTATGCCCTCAGAGGACTCGGTGTTCTGGGTCCATCCAGGGCCTGGTCTGTTTATTTTCTGGCTGTGGGCACCCAAGAAGCCCCTTGACCCAGTAGTTCCCAACCTGCCTCCCATATTGGGAGACTATACGAAAGTCAGCGTCCTTTCCACTTAGGACATTTGGGTATGGTGTGAAAGGCTTTCTAGTCCAGTCTCCTGTCTCAGAGGAGAGTCATCTTCAAAATGCCTTGGGTGTCTGGGCTTCAGATTGCAGGCCAAGGGAGGCACCACAGGACCTTCTCGGGCTGTAAGAGACCCCTAATCCTCAGAGGAGCCCCACCTCACCTATCTTCCTAGCCCATGACACATGATGGGTCCACAACTTGGCAAAGCCACACAGCTAACATTCTGGGAGCAGGCACCCCAAAACTGCAGAAGTGTGACGAATGCCCCGAGGATCACCCGCTGCAGCCCTGGCCAAATTTCCAGGGTAGAAGAGAGGGTAGGACCGAGTGGCCGTAGCAGGGTCCCACCCAGGTTCGTGGCTTTTCCTACACAGGTGCCTGGCGGAAGGAGCAGGTGACGTGGCCTTTGTGAAACACAGCACAGTTCTGGAGAACACTGACGGTGAGTGGTGAACGGGCCGAGGCTGAACGGCTCAGGTTGGTCCCAGACGCTTGCAAGCACGGTGGTGTAGAGCTGTTCTGAGTCTCCCCGGGGCGGGGGGGTGAGGGGAGGCTGGCTAAGTCCCACAGTCTATGTACCCAAGCTCCCCCAGGCAACGGGTAGGTGTGACGTTACGAGCAGCATTTCAACTGCTTGGTACCACAAGCAGAGTCAGGGGAGGCAAGGCACTGGGTTCCATCAGTGTCCACTTGCAAGCTGCCCTGTCCCTTTCTAGCATTTCCCCTGTGACCTGGCCTTTCCCTGGACAATCTTGCTTTACATGGATTGCTGTGATGTGTCGGTTTAATTTGTTCTAATTTTGTAGTAGTTGCGCTCTAGAACTTTTAGCCAGCCATGGTGGCACGTGCCTATGATCTCAGCATTTGGGTGGCTAAGGCAGGAGGACAGCAAGCAAGTGCTAGGATTATAGGCATGGCGGGAACTGTCCCTTAGTTTTGGATTTGCCTGAAGAGGAAATTGAAGTAGAAATTACATGCAACAAGATTTAGCTTTTTTTTTTTTTTAAGAACCACAATCAGACTGTGGACTGAGGCAAACCTTTGTTTGGGTCCTACCCTCCTCACCCACTTGCACCACATCCGATCCTTGCAGGATGTGTAAGACTTACCGCCTTTGTTTTGGGTTGTGTTTCTTGTTTTTACTGTTGTTTGGGTTTGGGGAGTGGTCTTTAAAGGAACTGTCTTTAGGACAGGACAATCCTACAAAAATGAGCTATTCTGCATATAGACTCCAAGCGGAGTTAAGCAAAAATGAGATAAATGAAAGTGTCGGACTAGGCTTTGGTCTCCCGAGTGCTGGGACTGTAGGCATGTGTGCCCACCCAGCTGCCGCCACAGCTCTTCCTTCTCCTCTTGTTTTAAATAATTGACCGCTCTTAAAAATTAAAACACATACCATGGTTAATAATGTAAACATTGTCCAGCACTCGGTAACTGTCTAGTGTTTGTGCGTTAAGAAAAAAACAATACCAAGCCTAGCATGGTGGTGCATGTCTTTAATCCCATTGCTCAGGAATTCGGGTCCACCCTGGTCTACATAGCAAGTTCCAGGCCAACCAAGGCTACACAGTGAGACCATGTCTCAAATAAATAAATAAATAAATAAATAAATAAATAAATAAATAAATAAA